GTTTTTTTTTAACAGTGTGGCAAGGAGATTGATAAGGATAAGGCAGTATATGTTGTATATCTGGATTTCAGTAAGGCCTTTGGTACAGTTTCTCTTGAAAGGCTGGTACTGAAAACAAAGAAAGTGGGAATCAGAGGAAGTATCTTACAATGGATACGTAATTGGCTGACTGATAGACCCAGAGGGTGGTGGTACAGGGAATGTCATCGGGCTGGGAGAATGATACCAGTGGAGTTCCACAGGGGACTGTGTTGGGACCTCTTTTATTTAACATCATCATAAATGATCTGAAGCCATGAGTCACAAGCACAGTGGCTAAATTTGCAGATGACACAAAGCTAATGAAGGTTGTAGATTGCAAAGATGAACAGGATAGATTAAAGAGGACTCGAACATTTGGTTCCATCTTAAATTCATAAGAAAAGTCTTAAAAGCTAGGAATGGGGACTATTTGTTGAATTCCCGGAGAGCAAAATGTTGGGCAAGTTTTCTTACTCCACATGCCTCTGTTTACCTCGCAGTAAATAGGAACCCGGTTGTTAGTCGATTCGCAGATCGTTTTTCCAGAGGTCACTCAATCCACGACTGTTTGTGGGACATTGCTGTGCACAATTGGCTGCCGCTTTTCCCCCATAAAATATACAGTCAATTCACTTTACAGTATATTCTGTGAACCCTTTTGTTCGACCCTGAGCTGTCCTTTCTCCCTCACATCCGCACTACAACTGGCACCGCCTTCCATCACCTTCGGAACATCGCCAGACTACGGCACTACCTCACCCCTCACGCTGCTGAAACCCTGGTCCACGCCTTTGTCACCTCAAGGCTGGACTATGGGAACTCTCTCCTCGCCGGCCTTCCCGCCACCTCCCTCCACACTGCAGGTCATTCAGAACTCTGCAGCTCGTGTACTGTCCCGCACCAGACACCGCGACCACATCACTCCCACCCTCGCTCACCTCCACTGGCTCCCCATCCCCCAGAGGATTGATTTCAAGATCCTCATCCTCACCTACAAGGCCATTCACGGCCTCGCTCCCTCCTACCTCTCCAACCTACTATCCCCCTACCTACCTGCCCGTACCCTCCGTTCCTCTGGCTCTGGTCTGCTCCACATCCCCCGCCCCAACCGCCCTACCATCGGTGGCCGGGCCTTCAGCCTCTCAGCCCCGAGGCTCTGGAACTCCATCCCCCAGTGCCTTCGCCGCCTCCACCCTTTCCTCCTTCAAGGCCGGTCTCAAGACCTTTCTCTTTGACCGTGCCTTCAGCTCCCCTCTCAACTCTCTTCCCCCTCCTCGCCCCCTCCCTTCCCTCCCCTCACCCTGACCATTTCCCCCCTCCTCGCTCCCTCCCTTCCCTCCCCTCACCCTGACCATTTCCCCCCTGCTCGGGTCATGACCCAACTGCAGCGCCTTGGGACGTCCTCCTGACGTGAAAGGCGCTTTATAAATGGAATCTTGTTGTTGTTGTTGTTGTTGAAGCTCTGTGAGACGTTACGGAAGACTTGATAAGGTGCTATATGAAATGCAAAGATTATTATTATTATCATTTAAGGCCTCAGAACGCCTGAGACGTTCCTGTGGAAATTGCTAAAAGTTCCAACAAGTAATAATATAGTCTGTGGTATCAATATCACCAATTCTTGTGAAATTTTGTAACCTTTTGCATCATCATGGAAATGTGGGATGGAGCGAAGTACAGTAGAGACAGACTGGGTGAGTGCAGAAGATTGCGGATAGTAATTCAGTCCCAGTTCAGTTGACAAACAAAATTCCTGGAGTTTCACTCTCACAGTTTCAATACTAATAATAATCCTTCCATTAGATATAGTGTTTTATGATATCTCCGAGACGTCTCAAAGCGCTGCACACAATATACTGTAAAGTGAATTGTCTGTGTATTTTGTGGGCGAAATGGCTCTCATTGTCCTGGAGTTTCACTCTCACAGTTTCAATGACTCTCAATGTTCAGTATTGTCGCTCGCTGCCACTCCCATCAAACTTTATCATCTCTATAAATCTTTGCCATGATTCATTCATCTAAAAATTACTATGGTGCACGTGGAAGATGTGTTATTACTTTGACCTTATTTTAGAGTAGGAAAACTAAATTACACAATAAATCATAGAGTTGAGTTTCCTGATGTTATCAACACTTGGGAACTTGCCTGGAACTGTATCTAATGCACAGGTTTATACACGATATCATTGGTGCAAGTCAAACATACAAACCTGTACTCCTAAACAAAACACATAACCACTGAAGTTAATGTATACAATGCAATTGCAATACAGTGCATTTATATAGTGCCTTTTATATCAGGAGAATGTCTTAAAATGTCAGGTTTAAAGAACGGATACAAGGTGGAATGTTGAGACTTATATATACTTATTCTACTTTGTTGTTCAAACTGCATTGTAGATTGCTCAGCAACTCAAAAGTATTTGATCCAATTGTATGGCTGCAATTAAAAGTAATACACAAAACAATATGATTTGAATTGGTAGTAGGTCAAACATCACATACACTACACCTCAAAACCTGATTGTCCCGAGCCAGTGAATGCCTCTTTCTGTAAAGGTCAACAACATTGGCGTCTCAATTTGTGACATTCCTAATTTGTCATTTTGTGAATCTGGCAAACACAAAGTTTTTCAATATTTGCTACCTTGAAGGTACAATTAATACAAAGTATCCAGTTTACAAATATTACACATTCAATGTTTTGGGGAGTAAATTAAGGCATACTTGTATTTCCAGGTTTGAGATTGTAGTAATCCTCACCTTATTATGTGATCGAGATGCCACAATGTGCTTCAAAGGATTTTACTGTGAAGTGTGGTGACTGTGTATATGTATTTGCCATGTTAGCCAGTTGGCTCACAGCAGTGTCTTTGAAACAGTCAATGAAGTAAGATTGCTGGCCGGGATATCAGGAAGAAACTCCCTTCTCTTTTTGAATAGTACCGTGGGATCTTTAATATCCACCTCATCAGGGAGATGGGACCTTAGTTTAACATCTCATCTGACAATGCAGCTCATCCCCAGCACTGCATGGGAGTATTTGATCCAATTTTATGGCTGCAATTAAACATTCTACACACAAGAGTATGATTTGAATTGGTAGTAGATCAAACGTCACATATACTGAATTGTGCCGAGCCAGTGAACGCCTTTTTCGGTAAAGATTGACAATGTTGGAGTCTCAATTTGTGACATTCGTAATTTGTCATTTTGTGAATCTTGCAAACAAAAAGACTAGATCATGAGCTCAAAGTGTTGATGTGGAGCTTGGATCCACACCCTTTTGACTCAGAGACAAAAGTGCTATCAGCTGAGCCTGGCTATTTGCATTTTAAAAAATATTATAAAAGCCATTAGTTGGCTGAGCCACTTTCATTTAAAATACAATACCCACATTTCTGTAGAGGTTAGAGATGGCTGGAGGCACATGTGGAGTGAAGGCAATTGAGTGGAATAATTGTACCAAACGGCTTATTTGAGTGCTGTAGGTCCACTGTGAAGAAGCTACTGCAAAATGTAACTCTCCACACTTCAATTTATTTACTTTATTCCTATATTATTGATTGGTTGCAAGGGTTTTTGCCTCCCAGGATATAAACAAGTGATTCATCTTATTAGGAAAGCCCCTGAGATCAGCATTACTGCCTAGAATGTCTTTGTTTTATCTGTCCGGAGTTGAAAATTACTTCCATCAATCATTTTATTCCATATTTCTGGATTTTCCTGTTTGCTCTAATTTGCTTGGAATCACTCTCTCATAATTTTTATCGACAAAGCAATGTTCCACAAGCAACTATGAAGTGAATCATTTCTGTGGAGGATTGTTGGCCAGGGCACCAGGGAAAAACTCCCAGCTCTTTTCCAATACTGTCATGGGATCTTTAACATCCACCTAAACAGGCAGTCAGGAACTTGGTTTAGCTTATCACCCAAAGGACGGCACATCCAACAATGCAGCACACACCCAGCACTGCACTGGAGTGTCAGCCAAAACTGTGTGCTCAGTGTCCTGATGTGAGACTTAATTCCAAAACCTTCTGACTCAGAGGCGAGAGTTACCTACTGAGCCAGGTTGACACCTCTTTTATAAATGTCCTTTAAAAGAAAAATATTGTTTTTTCTCCTGTTTGTTTGGTTTATAATGTTTCGCTTCTGCAGATCAACATGCAGCATTCTCCATAGCCAATCCTGTAGAGTTGATTCACCTTCTATCTTCTCTGCTAGCATCCTTGTGCCTGTTTCCTGCTTTCCTTATTGCACTGCAGGCTGGTGTTGGTTCACCTCCTCCTCTCTACCAAGTGCTTTCAGTCAGCCTCTGTCCTTTCAACGCCTTGGACTGGGCTGATAGGCACACTGGCATTGTCCAGCAAGTCTTGGTTCTGATCTGCCACAGGGATTTTTTGCAGCACTGTTGCTGGATGTGATTTTCTTGCCAGGATCTCAGACAGTCTTTGCGCCCTTGTGTCTCAGAGCTTAACTGCAATTTGTTTGTGCCACTGACATGAGCAGGGTGTTGGATTGTTTTGCTCCCAGCATGCGTGAGTGAGGGTGTTGAACTCAGGCTCCCCAAGTTTTGATACATTATACTTTCCTAGATGGCCTCAGCTTACATTGTGAGACTGCATAACTACAGTCTGACATTGATGTGCCACTGGCACCTGTGAACGACAAAGGTGAAGATGTAGAGGATGGAGAAATAGTCTGCAGCTCCGTCTGATGGTTTAGGGATACTGTGGACCCTTTTTTTAAAGTAAAAGAGTACTTTGAATCCAGACAGGGTTCCTTGGTTCTAATCTTATTTAAGCACATAGGAATCAAAGCGTGACTTGTATGAAGGGCATTACAGGGAATATGTCTGCTAGTTTACCCAATTATTTACTTTGTTTTCTTTGAACAATTAGATTTGACCAGTCATATCTAATTATTCAAAAATAAAACTGAAGAATAAAATGTAACAAAAATATCCTTTATTACAGACACAACGGTCTTGAGCACATCTACTACAATTGCAGCTACACGCAATCTGGCATCAACCAGGGTCACAACGAGCATTACATCAACCACCGTGCCTGAAAGTCCTAAAGTGACAACCATTCCCTATAATGGAGGGAAGAGTGACACAATTGGGAACAGTATGATCACAGGAACCCCAAACTCATCCAACAGTCAGTCCCCAGCTAATACACTCCAGTCAGCTTCCACTGTAAGCCAGTCAACTGGTTTTGCAACATTGCTCTCTTCTGCTGCAAACAACAGAGAGGAATCCAGTACATCTCTACCAACTACAAATGCAAAGGAAACAGAGATATCCAGTACATCTACAACTGCAAATGACACCCAGGAATCCATTACATCTCTACCAGCTACAACTGCAAATAACACAGAGGAATCCAGTACATCTGTACCAACTACAACTGCAAATGAAACAGAGGTATCCAGTACATCTACAACTGCAAATAACACACAGGAATCCATTACATCTCTACCAGCTACAACTGCAAATAACACAGAGGAATCCAGTACATGTGTACCAACTACAACTGCAAATGAAACAGAGGTATCCAGTACATCGACAACTGCAAATAACACCCAGGAATCCATTACATCTCTACCAGCTACAACTGCAAATAACACAGAGGAATCCAGTACATCTGTACCAACTACAACTGCAAATGAAACAGAGGTATCCAGTACATCTACAACTGCAAATAACACACAGGAATCCATTACATCTCTACCAGCTACAACTGCAAATAACACAGAGGAATCCAGTACATCTGTACCAACTACAACTGCAAATGAAACAGAGGTATCCAGTACATCGACAACTGCAAATAACACACAGGAATCCAGTACATCTCTACCAGCTACAAATACAGATGAAACAGAGGTTTCAAGTACATCTACAACTGCAAATAACACACAAGAATCCAGTACATCTCTACCAGCTACAACTGCAAATAATACACAGGAAACCAGTACATGGCTACCAACTACAACTACAAATGACACAGAGGCATCCAGTGCATCATTACCAGCTTCAAGTGTAAGTCAGCCAATAGCCTCGCCAACGTTTGCTACAAATGGAAAACCAAGTGCAACTAATACTGTTGTAAGCTTTACATCTTCACCATCAACTGCAACATCATCATCCCAGCAAAGCGCCATCAAAAATAACCAAACCAGTGACCATTTGAGTGCAGGTGAGATAAAAGATATAGTGCATCTGCACTTAGCCTTTCTCAGTAAAGGGTATCTATTGAGTAACATTTTATTTGTGAAAAAAGGTAGTGTTTCAATTAATTAATTGATCCCATCCTGCAGATTTATTTTTCTGCAAAGACCACTGTAGATCAGCAGCCTCAGTACATAGAAATGGAAACAATCAAATAGCTATTTTTAACCGCTTAATAGTTAACTGTTGTTCAACATTGGACATTGGATTACTATATCATAACCCTGTGTGAAACATTAACGTTAGCTAGCTATTATTAGCTAGTGAAGTCCTGTACCTTAGTGGTTAGAGCACTCCCCTTGCAAGTGAGAGGACCCGGGTTTGATTCCCAGGCAGGGCGAAACGTAGGGCAAGTTTTCTTACTCCACACGCCTCTGTTCACCCAGCAGTAAGTAGGAACCCGGTTGTTAGTCGATTGGCTGATCACCTATCCGGAGGTAATAATCCCTTTTTTAAAAAAAAGTGGTCATTTAATCCATGACTGTTTGTGGAACACTGCTGTGCGCAATTGGCTGCCGCGTTCGCCCACAAATATACAGTCAATTCACTTTACAGTGTGTTCTGTGAAGCGCTTTGGGACGTCCTCCCAACGTGAAAAGCGCTATATCAAATGCAAGGATTATTATTATTATGTGATAAGGCGCTATATCAATGATATTGTCCCTTAGTCACTATTTTGTTATTTTCATCACTAGGAAGCGTGGCAGCCATTGTTGTGGTTATCATCATAGCTGTTTTGGTGGTATTTGGAGGAGTGGCTTACTTGAAGTTAAGGTAAGGTTTGCGAAAACATGCTCATTCTTAGCTGAATATCAAATACAGTCAATTCATAATTGCCATTTATCTGATTCTGACAAAAAGAGTGGCCAAGACGCTAGGCTCATTTAAGAAACCACTTTGTGGCTGTTATGGGAAGGAGACGGGGTTGCTATTTCTAAAGAATGAGATCATATGAGCTGAAGTGTCTCTTTCATCCCAGCCTCTTATGATCTTGGGAATTCCTGTTGGCTCTAAATCCCATACTGGATTCTAAACTAAGTTCCCTAAGACATTTGTGAAAATTTTAATCAACAAGTTGTTATTCAGAGAACATTACAATTTGCATTATAATCTTGCGGAGGTGCGGAGGTGGGGGAAGGCAGAGCAGGTCATGGCACAGATGTGGGGTAGAAAGGATAGTTGAGGGTCAAACAAGACACCAACGTTCCGAACTGACTCAGTGAGGTGGAGTGTGCAACCATGGATGGTGATGTTGTCAGTGCCTGAGGTGAGGAGGCGCTGACGGGAGCCAATCAGGAGAGCCTTGTTGATGTTCAACTGAAGAAAGTTGGCTCTCAACCAGGTCTTGTCAGGACAGCAGTGGTCCTGGAGTCAAGGGTGGAGGCAGAGAGGTAGAGTTGGGTGTCATCCGCATACATGTGGAAGTTGACTCCACATCTGCGGATGATGTCACCAAGAGGGAGCGTATAGATATTGAAGTGGAGGGGACCAAGGACAGAGCCCTGAGGAACACCGCACGAGACGCTGCGGGAGCTCGAGGAGAAACTGTTTGTGGAGATGAAGTGCAGGCGGTGTGAGAGATACGGTCTGAACCAGTCAAGGACAGCGCCATGAAGGTTGAGGTGAGAGGAGAGGTGGTGGATGAGGATAGAGTGATCAACAGTGTCAAAGGCAGCAGAGAAGTTACGGAGAACGAGGAGGCAGAGGGAGCCCTGGTTGCAGATGGACAGAATGTCATTTGTCACTTTGACCAGAGCTGTTTCTGTGTTGTGGGCAGCACGGAAACCTGATTGGAGGGGTTTGTGAAGGGAGTGGCGGGAGAGGAAGATGCGAAGCTGGGAAGAAAAAACTCGTTCCAGGACTTTGGAGAGGAAAGGGAGGTTGGCGATTGGGCGGTAGTTTGAGAGTAGAGATGGGTCCAGGGAGGGAGTTTTAAGGATAAGAGTAATGCCGGCCATTTATAATGGGGTGGGAACAGTACTAGAGGACAGGGAGAGGTTTATGATGTCAGTGAGTAGAGGGGCAAGGAGGTGGAGCTGGGAGGTAAGGAGAGAGGTAGGGATGGGGTCGAGGGAGCAGGTCGTCAGTTTCATGCAGGTTATAGTGGTGGTGAAAGAGGAGTGGGAGACAGGTTTGAAGGTGTGGAGGGAGGGATGGGTAAGGTCCAGGGTGGGAGGGGGAGATGGGGAGAGGGTAGTAGATGGAATGGCAGAGGCAGCTGAGCGGATCCCCTCGACTTTCGATTTGAGGAAGTCCAGCATTGCCTCACAGTTGGCATTTGAGGTGAGGATGGGCGAGGTGTGAGAGGTTGGGCATGGAGAAGAGGAGTCTGGGGTTGTCCTTGGCCTCCAAGATTGTCTTAGAGTAGAATGACGATTTAGCAGAGGCGAGGGTGGAGCAGTAGGACTTGATAAGGTCCAGTCAGATCTGCTGATGGACTGTTAAGTTCGATTTAAGCCAGGTGCATTCAGTGGCATGCAACTGTGCTTTAAGGGAGTGGAGGTGGCTGGTGTACTGAGGTGACTTATGTGAATAGGAGACAGTTCGGGAAGAGAAGGGAGCAGGGGAATGGAGAGTGGTGGAGAGGGATCTATGGAGAAGAGTGACTGACAAGGATAGGTCATTGTGGGAAGAAGCCCAGAGGGGAAGGTGGTCAGATGCCTCCGAGGCAGCCGAGAGGGAGGGGGTGGGGGGAAGATTTTTTTATCAGGAGTTTATGGAAATATTGTTTATGCACAATGTGGTAGTATGTGCTGTTATACATTAATGGGTTTACTTAAGTTGATAATGTTGGTGTGTATGTTGCTTTGCTTGATACTAGTCACCTAAATAAGATTGTATTCATTATTCCAGATCATTTACATGCAGCTGTTAGTTTATTGAATACTTGTATGTATTCAGTGGTTTACAACGTTTCTCAGCCATGGAAATGACGGCTGTTTCTGAGAACTTGACAGATGTGATTCCATACAAAACCAGGAAAATAGATCAATGAATTACTTTAGCAACTGTTTTCTATGAGATCATGGAACCTTGAGGGAGTGTCGGCAAATATAAATGATTAGTTTGATTGATTTTTGGAAATTATCAGTACTTTCCCTAGTTGTTGTGGATCAATGAATTGACTCAAATATACAGTCAATCCACTTTACAATATATTCTGTGAAGCCCTTTGAGACGTTTCAATGACGTGATGAGGTACTGTACAAGGATTATTATTACTATTAAATAGCAGTAAAGAACCCTCGAACACTGCATTGTAATAATTGAACAATGTGTGAAGTTGATGGCAGTCATGTTTGTAAAATGGTTTTGCAGACCTTAAAATAATAATTCTGTTCAAACATATCCAGTAAACTACAGGGCTACAAGGAAAGGGCAGGCAAATGGGACTGAAAGAATTGCTCTAAAAGGAGCTGGCACAGACACGATGGTCCAAATGGCCTTCTTCTGTGTTGTAAATTCCTATGGTTCTATTTATTTGAACTGAGATGAGCTCCTGATGCGAAAGGCTCTATGTAAATTATATTCTTCTAAAAAGCATTTGGATAGAGGCTTGAAGAAAGAGAAATATTAAAGAGAAAGTTATGGGGAGTGAATAGGAGAGTGAAACCAGATTAGGTGGCCCATGTGAGAAAAACACCAGCACAGACTTGATGGGGTCACGTGGCCAGTTTTGTGCTGTAATATTGTATGATTTTATGATGAATGAATATTAGCTCTAAGCCAGATTCTGAGGGGAAAATATGCGGATTCTTTTCTGTCGATTTAAACTCTCACTTACCGCATGTCACAGCTTAGCGGCTTTCATCCAAAATCGTGACAAAATACAGATTTACCTGATTATCTCTTGCCAACACCAGTGGGTTTCTATAACAACCACAATTGACTCTAATATTAAAAAAAAATCTCACAAGCTGTTTGTTCCACTGGTAAGGTAGCGTGGCATATGCTTGTAATGGAAAATCCAATATCAAATACACATTGATAAAAAATAAAGATTGATTGAAATTACTTGGTTGTCTAAACATTTGCTGATATTAATCCATCTGCTTTGCAATGCCAGTCTTGGTAATGCTAAGGCACTTTCTCCCAGAAGGACTGCCACCCATTAATTTATGGAAAAAGATGTTTGAGTCAATTGTTTTTTTTTCTTTTATCAACAGTTGAAGGGGAGACTCATATTTGAGCCCAAAATTAAAATCCTTATTTTGATTTATTGAACAAACGGTCTGCAAAATGCTGTAAATACCGTACAATGTAGATATGTTGTACTACCAAAAGGTGTAATGTTCAAATGATTTCTTATTTGTTGCAGAAAAACAACATATGGACGACTACTGGATGATCAGGACTATGGTTCGTGGGGGAATTTTAATAATCCTTTGTATGACGATTCGTAAGTGCTGACCAATTAACCAAAGGCACTTGATCAGATCAACCTCTGACAGCTTGCTTTTATTACGATGTGGATAGAAGATGTTTGAAGAGGTTTTTAAACTGCGAAGTACAGTATTCTTTTTTTCCCTCAGTTTGTTTTAAAATGGTTTGTAATTTGTATTATTTTCTTACCCAAATGCACCCCTCTTAGTTTGTAGAACGGTCTTGTATCCACTTAGCTAAGTCACCAAACAATGCTTACTAATACACGATCATGTCACAGACAGTGTTTTGATTTATGGAGCTTTGCAAGCTGTTCTACAATCAAGGTAGTCATATATGCTTGACCTTGCTTATTTTCCCAGCTTGTCTTCAATGTAAATTACACCAAATGAATATAAAGTTCACTATATGTATGGAAATATGATTTGATTCTTGTCTTTTAAAAGTTTGAAACCTCAGCCCTAATTGAATTTCAATTGGAGTTCTTCATGTTCTCTTGGATGTAGGCTCATGCAAGACTCTTAAAGTGCACTGTTTTTACAATCATTGATTCATGAGACAATTAAGGTAGTTAGTGGGGGTCCTCCAAGTGCCTCAATGTTAACTTAAAACTTTTAATACCTTCTGTTGGATCCCTTGAAAAGTTTCTGTTGATTTTTTTCTCTCTGGTTCTGGTCTCCTCGGTGATCTCTAAACTGAGAACAACAACAACAACAAGATTCCATTTATTGAGCGCCTTTCACGTCGGGAGGACGTCCCAAGGCGCTGTACAGTTGGGTCAGGACCCGAACAAGGGGGAAATGATCAGGGTGAGGGGAGGGAAGGGAGGGAGCGAGGAGGGGGTAGAGAGTCGAGAGGGAAACTGAAGGCACGGTCAAAGAGAAAGGTCTTGAGACCGGCCTTGAAGGAGGAAAGGGAGGAGGCGGCGAAGGCACTGGGGGATAGAGTTCCAGAGCCTAGGGGCTGAGAGGCCACCGATGGTAGGGCGGTTGGGGCGGGGGATGTGGAGCAGACCGGAGCCAGAGAAACAGAGGGTACGGGCACGTAGGTAGGGGGATATAAGGTCGGAGAAGTAGGAGGGAGCGAGGCCGTGAATGGCCTTGTAGGTGAGGATGAGGATCTTAAATTCGAAGGTGGGTCAGTGACCAAAGTGTGTGCCAGGACACAGCAGAGCACCTTACTCAGTGGGAAGACTCCGGGTCCTGACTCCTCTAACCTTCCAGATATCCACTGCTCTGAACAAATGTCCTTGTAATTCTCAGTCTTGCTTTGAGGCTATGCCCTTCAATTCCATGCTCATAGCTCTAGATAAATGCTATCAAGCATATGAGGTGAATACTACATAAGGTTATAAATGAGGTTAAAGTAATAAGAGTAACAATGATTCTTGAGCTCCTGGAACCGTGGCACCAAGATACCCTGGAAATAACTGACCAAAATTACCTAATGTAGGTTGTGAGGGTAAGTAGGTGTTCTGGAGTTTTGTGTGATTACCATTGGGAGCAATGAACAACAACAACTTGCAGGTACATAGCACTCAGCCCTTAGGGTAATGTCTCGGAGGACGTTACAAGGACATGGTTGGATGTCAAGCAAGAAAGAGGAGAGCGCGAGAGTGGGGGAGGGGGCTATAGGTGCATTCAAAGAGGAAGGATTTAAGGCGGGATTTAAAGACAGAAAGAAAGGGAGCGAGATAGAGTGGTAGAGGGAGATTCTTCAATGAAACTATTTGCAGAACCTTTTTATGTTCTTAAAGCATGAGAGTAAAGCTTGAATCATACAGATTTCAAGCACACACACCCTCCTTAATACTCGCACTCTGACAACAATAATGTTTTAATTAAAATGTAATGAAATCTTCAAATGACCTTTGTGCTGTAATAAATTAAACATGATGCTGAATTGTCATTGATTAAAGATTTAGAATTCCAAGTAGTGCAATATAGCACTATCAGATGATTGACAGGAAAGTACAGTGACAGAATTGCTTTGTAACTGAATTATAAGAATCTGGTGTATACTTCTTGCATATTACAGTACACAAACCATTTCTGACATTGAGATATAGGAATAAAAAAATAGCAAATGAAGTGATTGTACCAAAAGAAAACATCTATATTTGTATATGTAAAGTAAAAATTAAGTTGTGGCATTCTGATGGCCGGATTTGACAAGGCAGTTCTGCCCCCATTCAGCATCGCTGTAATAGGAAAGCCTCTTCGTGAAGATGTTTATTTTTTTAGGTAGCTGGCGAGTATTGTAAAGTTAGGCAGGAATGCCGACATAAAACAAATTCCCTATGTCATGGTTTACAACTCTTGCAACTCATGAAGTTTGTTCACGTTTTCTTCCAATATAAAATATACTTGCATAACATTATCACCTGCATCCCGAGACAGAGAAGCAGTACATACAGTATTTAGCAATTTTTACTATAAATCTGTGAAAGAAAGTGACCATAATCTGTTGCAGAATCACTTTTATAGACTGAAGGAGAATCTCTCAACATCACAAACCAAGAATTACACGACAGTGTTTTAAGTTTCAGTGTAACTTTTTTCCTCTATTTAAATAGTGCTGCTTGATGAAGGTTACATACAATATTTTCCCACCTATATACACATGCATTAAAACAAATGCAAGGAATAGCTTTCTAAATCATACAAATATTGCACGCTTGTAAGATTTTATACATGCCTGGGATCGATTGTTTGTCTCTTTATCCTGGTTGACCAGCGTGACTTTAAATTAGTAACTTTACTTCTTTAGGGTTGCCTATGTGTATGTATAATTGAGAATTGAAAGTTTGTTCTGTATTCACTCAGCGTTTTTACAATGCTTAGTCTTACATCATTTTGGGGACATGGCGAATCATCTACTCACAGAATTTTTTTGCTGTTATTGACGGAGTTTAGTCAGTAAAACGTCAGCAACATTCCTACTGTCAGCACATATTTATCATTCTGTTGGAATGTTGTGATGTTTGATGCTTTATTTAATGTTTAAGCCATGCTAGCCAATTATTGATGCAAATCAATTTGAACGCCAACTTATTTGCACCACGTATAGGCTTTGAAGCCTGATTTTTTGTTTTGGTGATAGTGCTTTCTCCCAGATTTTAGATAGTATACTTGTGTCTGTACAAGGGAACATGGTGGTGTTATGCTGAATACATAGATCCTGTTTGAATATATTGTATCTTGTTCTATTATTTGTGAAAAATCACATTACCTATCAATAGAAGCATGAAACGAAGACAATAAATCATGCCCTGTTTTGGTTGCAATGGTTAACGTGGAACTAGCTCCAGAATTCATGGAGCACAATAAACTTCCTATTCATTACACTGTGCTATTTTTACTGTGTCAGTTTGTGTTATGTAAGGAAGTTCATACTAACCAAAGCTTGGTTATGCAGTGTAGAATTAAATTATGCTGGTAATTAATAAAGGAAAAAAGGTAGGAAAATGTCCTGCTTCTCTTTGTTACCGAATGTACTCGAACAAGAGCTAAATTTAGCTGTACCCTGTTGGTGTTAGTTCTTGTTGAAACCACCAAATTCCAGTTCCATTGATGAAGTAAAATGAATCACGCCTTAACCGATATTACCTGAAGATGCGTACTGAATTGGCTGATCTTACCTAGAACACACCATATTTCCCCTTCTCTAATACCCTGGGTTAGAAAAGGGTCAAATCATCAGAGATGAAACCCCTCTCCCTCCATGGAAAGTGTGCGTGTGTCATTGTGGGATTTCACTGTGAGGCACTCATCTTATCAACACACAATATCTAGGCCCACGCGTGAAGAATGGTAATTTGGACAAGAAACAGGAAATCAGCCGGACTTATAATCATATCCCAGCAAGAATTGTGGCCTTCAAGAAAGGAGAAAGTTGTCAAAAATAAACACTGAATTCTGCAAAGAACAAATTAATTTGAAATTGTAACTATACAGCCAAGGACTTTAATATTTTGAAGTATTTGGCATGAACATCACAGTGGACTGGACCCTAATTTGGACATTTTAATTTTGTTCTTCCCTCACAGAATCTATTCCCTCCCAATCCATGTTATTTCAGCCAGGGAAGTCAGGAACTCTAGACTGCCAGTGATGTTCTGTTCAGACGTATTGGGGTTGAATACCCTTTAATGACAGAAACTTTGAAAAAAGGCCATCAGCCTGCTGGTAGCACTCTTGACTCTGGGTCAGAGGTTGTCGGTTGAAGCCCTTATCGGGATTTTAAACTCAACAGTCTTAGCTGACATCCCTATGCAATGCTGATCTCATTGTTGGAGGGACTGTCCTTTGGATAAGACATTAAATCAAGATCTCATTTGCCTGTTCAGTTGCATGTCAAATATCCCATGGCACTATTTGAAAAGAAAAGGGAGATTTCTGGTGTCCTGGCCAACAATTCCACAATAAAATTGGTCATTCGCTCTATTTTTGTGGAAGATTGCGGTCCACAAATTGGCTGCTGGGTTCACCAACAAAATACATGGTCACTTCACTTCACAGTAAAATCAACAAAAACAACTTGAATATATATATATAGTGCTCTTCACTCAATAGCTTCATGAAGCACTGAGAAATCTTGTTAAGTGCTTTAAGATGTTGAGACATCTGATATAACGCTATATCAAATGCAAGGATTATTATTATTATTATAATAACAAATACCAGCAATATAAAACTGTGTTTTCTGTCTTGCAAAACTTCGGCTCTGAACTGAATTATTCTCAGACCAAAGGCAGGTGAACTTGCATGGGTTTCTCTGAAAGTAATGCACTTTATATTGTGTGCCCTGTTTTTGAGGCAAGGCACCATTTCCTCTGGTTTTGCCATTTGAATGCTTTTTCAACCCCAATCTGTAGTTGCATATCGAAATAAAAGAGTTCTCATGCACTGCACAAAGCTTCACCTCTGGGAGTCTGCACTCTCTCTCTGGATTAATACAGAGGTTGAGGTAAATGTGCAGCAGCTCTTGTGTTTCTGGCACAACTCGTGAAGGTTTTATCTAAGCATAGCAATGCTTGTGGTCTTCCCGGCATCACCTTGCGATAGTTTCCAGGTTGCTTACCTCTCCTATGTAAAAAGAGTGGGTGTCGACAAGGCATTGGCCAATGCTCATCAAGTCTTCTGATCTACATGGCATTTTCCTTTAACGGGATAGAGGGATATATGCTATGTAGTGTTTTAGAACACAGAGAATAACAGATGTAACATCTTTCAGTGCAACAGCACCAGTAGTGCATTCACCCAGTAAACGCCTCAAATATATAACTACTGCAGACAAAACATCAACCTTTGTGCTTGGTGGATTTGCAATGCAAGGAAAACTATGTTTGTAATGCAAACATGCCTGGATTCACGTCTAACAGTTTAAAAAAATATGTTTTGTTTCACTGACATACATGAAATGCCCGAGGCCTTCAATTTGAGTAGCAAATATTGTCCTCAGTCACTTGTGATATTCCTACACAGAATGTCCATGATCACCTAGCCATGCACATGACATGTTGGGATAGCTGCATTTTGTGGGATGCTAGGAATCACAGTGCCTGTCTGTTGGAAGATTCCTGTATTTCATTGGATCTTTCATTGAAAAATTATTTTGACAAAGTGCCCATAGGAGCTACCAGGATGGCTGTCAAGATTTTGGAACCACAAAACTTTGTACGGAAACAATTCATTCAGCTTATTGTGTGTGTGTTTGCTTTTTGAAAGAAGAACCAACAAGA